CTAGGCCCACTCGGTAATGCGTCACCATAATGAGCTCAATGTTACTTAGGAGTTAGCCACGGGATCATGCGTTACAGAATGAGTAAAGAGACTTGCCGGTAACGAGATTGAACGAGGTACGGGGATACCGACGATCAAATCTTGGGCAAGTAACATACCGATGGACAAAGGGAATTGTATATAGGATTGATTAGATCCCCGACATTGTGGTTCATCCGATGAGATCATCGTGTAACATGTGGGATCCAATATGGGTATCCAGGTCCCGCTATTGGTTATTGGTTGGAGAGATGTCTCGGTCATGTTTGCATGGTTCCTGAACCCGTAGGGTCTACACACTTAAGGTTCGGTGACGCTAGAGTTGTAATGGGAAATTGTATGTGGTTACCGAAAGTTTTTCAGAGCCCCGGATGGGATCCCAGACATCACGAGGAGTTCTGGAATGGTCCAGAGGTGAAGATTTATATATAGTAAGTCTAGTTTCAGTCGCTGGAAAGGTTTCGGGGGTTATCGGTATTGTACTGGGACCACCGAAAGGTGTCCGGGGGTCCACCAGGTGGGACCACCTACCCCGGAAGACCAAGTGGGCTGAATATGGGTGGGAATGCGCCCCCCAAGGGCCCAAGGTGCCTAAGGTTGGAAACCCTAGGGGGTGGGAGCGCCCCCCCCCACACACACCAAGTTGGGGGGCAAGCACCCCTCCTTGGCCGCCGCCCCCCCTTCTAGATGCATCTAGGGGGGCCGGCCCCCTCTCCCCTTCACCCTATAAATAGAGGGGGGTGGGAGGGCAGCCGTACCTCAGCCCCTGGCGCAGCCCTTCCCCCTCCTACACCTCCTCCTCCTACGTTAAGTTTAGTGAAGCTTTGCGGGAGAACCATGAGCTCCACCACCACGCCTCGTGCTGCCGGAGTTCTCCCTCAACTTCTCCTTCCCCCTTGCTGGATCAAGAAGGAGGAGACGTCCCTGGGTTGTACATGTGTTGAACACGGAGGCGCCATCCGATCGGCGCTTGGATCAGATCTTCCACGATTTGAATTGCCGCGAGTACGACTCCATCAACCGCGTTCTTGTAACGCTTCCGCTTAGCGATCTTCAAGGGTATGAAGATGCACTCCTTCTCTCTCGTTGCTAGCATCTCCTAGATTGATCTTGGTGACACCTAGGATTTTTTTTGAATTATTACTACATTCCCTAACACACCAAGTAGAGAGGACGTGCTTTCGGTCTTTGGTTCGAGGGCGGTTTACGGGATCATCATCAATGTTCAAGGGACTTTGAGCATGATCTACACCGACTCTTCTTCTCCCGCTGCACTCTGGAGTTGGTAACGATCGTTGATCACAACCTGTTATACATCTTCATATTGATCTTGGTGATCATAGGTGTGATTTTTTTTATTTTCTACTACGTTTCCCAATAGCCGGACATAGGGAAGATACGGGGGGGGGATATGTCTCCGGGACTCCCGACAGTCTGGTTAGCGAGCTGCCAAACATGGGGAAAACAAAGGGATCTGCCACAGCTGGCCGTAGATTAGTGTATCCCTGTCGTGGGAGTGGAGCTCCGCGCAACCGTACGTGCACATAGTTTTACCTTTTTACTTGAAAATATATCCAAAATGTAACCATTTTCATTCGGTTTGTTTGAAATCCGTCATGCTTATATGAAATCTGACATTGTTTGTACGAATTTCATCCGGTTTGTTGAAAAAGAGTTTGAAATGTATGCAACTGCGGTTGGATAGCGGCCTCCTGCATCCATGTCTGTGGACGTATGCGGGAGGAAATTTGCGGGTTGCTGTTGGAGATGCCCTTATTAAGGATTTCTACAGACCAATGCATTGGGTGTTCAACGACTGCACCTCATAGTCGAGTTGCTTTGGGCTACCATACTAATCCTCATTGTCACATACTTTTGGTATAGCCTTCCATGTGTCCCTGTACTTTACCTCATCCTTGATAGATCTATGAGATTCTGGGTACATGCGGAGCCTTAGAACGAGAAAGAGATAAGAGACAAATGTGTTGCAAATAACACATACAAATGACATTCAATTAAGTAAAGTCAATGCCAATGATCATGTGCACAAATACATAGGGCTGCAAGGCTATGCCTCGGCCCATTGCCGGAGGGAATTACTCAAACATCACAATCAGATGACAGATGGAAACCATTGTAGACGACATTGATATATGAATGATTGTATAGTCTTAAAATGTCGTGTTATGTGATGGATCAACTACAAGAAGGCAGATTGTGGGGAGAATGGCTATAGAGATGGAGATGGCGATGGCTAGGGTTTCTCCAAGAAATGGTGGTTGGTGGTGATAGTGATCCTAGCGACTCTTCTGCTCTCCACGGGATTGTTCTATTGCGAATGGGGCCACGAGCCTTTTATAAAGTGTGTCATGGCTGATGTCACAGAGCTAGTGGAGGGTGGTACAAGCGCTCGTGCCCATACCAGATATTGTCTTCTCCTCTGTTGCTTTTGTGGCGCCTCCCATTTTTTTGGCTTGATCTCCACACTTCATATTCCCGTGTATAGCTTCATTTCCTTTCGTTTAATGGTCCATTTCCTGTAAAAACAAATTGAGCAAATATATTTGTAATTTACGTTTATTAGTCATTAGTGATAAGATTAGAGTGGTTTTCTCGGAATATCCACGATTATCCGGTTTAAATAGTGGAAGGATAAGTACACTCATCAACCTCCCCAAGCTTAAACCTTGACTGTCCTCGAGTAAGAACAAAACCGTAAGTAACTCGGTTTAAACAATCGAAATAAGATGAAGGTTTTGGTTCACTTACGATGGGTACACCTAGATATCCCAACACTTTCTTCATCTGAAAACTTAGCATAGTTGTAGCGATGACAATGGTTATTATGCAAGCGGGTTAGCTCAAGATAATTAACATAAAGTTTTCATTAGTTTAGACAAAGTAATCAACTCACAATTATTCTACTTCATTTAGCTTACACTTGCTTGCCAAGAAGAACTTTGCAATGAAAAGGGATTGAAAGGCATGTAGAAGACAACATGTTGCTAGAGTAACTCACTAACACCCACAAGTATCGCCTTATAAAGGCTCGCAAGCACTCCTTCCATCGTTGCTTGTTGAAACTTTCATTTTACGGTGACAAGATCATGCCAAAGAAATGATACATGCAAATGGTTTTTTGTTGTGCCTTAAATTGAATACTATGAACCATGATTTGTCTCTTTCGAGCGCACTGATTAATATTCTTTTTCCAACACACATTGCATCAATAGAAAGCCGAATAATACTTTTCATGGTGTTGTGACTACAGACATGATGAATGATGCCATCGGGATTGATTATATCCAAATCTCAAAGCCATTTAAGGTGGCCAATGAGAATATTTTTTAGGTTCCTACTCCAATCCCAATGAAGAAAAGGCCGCGAGATGGATAGAGCTCAAGGCACTGGAGAACACATGGTTGCCATTGAGCTGGAGAAGTTGATGATCACTAGAGATGAGGTGATGGCCCATAAAATGGATCAAGGGTAAAAAGATTATGTTTATGGACAATAGTGGCCTTATTAGACAACAAAGATCACACACGGAGGCACTCATGGAAATGTCTTGGCATCAAAGGTGGGTAGGTTTAAGGGCAACAATGGTCGCATTTGATGCTCCATGTGTGATAATTTTGGATAAACTTCTGTTCTATGTTTATGATCATCACTTTGCTTTGCATGTTATGTTTAAATTTAAATTTGAGTGTGATTTTTTTAAATATGGATTAAAAATGTTGTTGAACTCTATGTGGTGGGATCATACAAGTTTGAATTGCTTTCATGCCGAATATGAGTTCAAATTGTTTGAGTATGCACAAGAGGGAGAAAAAAAGATAAATAGAATTGAGGGGGGGGGGGTTGTTTTAAGGTATGTCGAAGAAGGTGCACCAAAGATCCCTTACGTTGGCTCAAAAGGAGTTAGTTTTGTGGTTTGAGAAGACTTCTATTTTAATATTAAAGAGAGAACTGTTTTAAATATCTGAATCAAAACCCAATCTTCTCTTTCCCTTCTTCTCTCATGAAAGTGGCGGCTAGGACGAAGAATCCGTCCCCTTGAGACTCTGTCGACGAGTCGTGGATTTCCTCGCCCTTTGCCTATCGCTTCGCGGTCAATGAAGGGGCATGGGACCCCGATGCCTGGGCCCCAGCTAGTAATTTAGGTTAGGGACTTTTAGCCCTCGTAGGGGTGGCGCTTGGGCGGATGGCGGCACCTCGCCTTCGAGCTGGTATTTCGGGCTCTAATTGACTTCGTCCGCCAAGACGGAGTCGAAGTAGCTTTGACATAAATTTTTCTTGTCTCCTTGGGGAGGCAAGGTTAGACTTTCTTGCCATATGTGTGTGACGGTGAGATCTCAGACACTTCAGATATTTTCAAGGGTTCAACATCGGCTCCAAGGGTTATAAAAAAACATCGTCTCCAAGGAGTTGGCTCTTTGGATATGTGCACGAAGACTTCTCACCCGTTCTCGACAAGATATGCCGGCAAAGGTAGGGAAGCTACTCGTTCTGACGACGGTAGCGGTTGTTCAATGGCTTAGAATCTTGATGTAATTTTTATTATATTTAGGGTGCTTAGTATTTCTGATGAACTTCTTTATAACAGATCTTGTCTTTTCTGAAGAAGAAAAAACTCAGTTACAGGAGAGATTCCTGTTGGTGTGGTTGGTGAGTCCACGAGAGGAACCCATGCGCACATGTGGCGAGCGCATGTGCCGAAGGCCGATGGGAAATAGTATCGCGTGGATCCAGATCCTCCCCTGGCATGGGTGGCATCTTGACAAATCGAGGCGGGACCCACCCGCCGATCTCCGGCAACCAACCGCTGGTACTAGTCCCTGTCCCGCCCCCCTCCCGATTCTCCGGGGAGTCCGAGCGAGCTCACGAACAGCACACTAGTCGGCTCGCTCGCTCTCACTCTCCCCTCCGGCGCCCTTACACGAAGACGGCAGATCCAAGCAATGGTGCGCGTCACTGAGACACGCTTCTCTGGCCCCGCTCGCTTGATCTTCCTTCGCATCTCGTGATCCCGCGCCTTGGCTCTCCCTATCATCAGCTCGTTCTCTCCGCCTTGTTTTCAGGATTTGATGGCGTTCTTCGGGGGCAAGAAGCAGGGGCCGGAGCAGAACGGGCACGCCAACGGGGCGGCGCCCAACGGGAGCGTCAAGAAGAGGACCACCGATTTGGCCATCTACGAGCAGTACGAGCAGCAGGTCCGTGCCCTGTGTCACTGTGTGTTTGTGTGCTGGCTTCCTTGGCGATCGATTACGTGCATGCGGGTGTTCTTGTCTGGTCCTGTTCGCTTGACCCCGATCCCGTTTTTGCTGTTACAGGCCAGGCAGCCGGAGATGCGCGCGGCGGCGATTCGCGATGGGAATGCTGATGTGATGTGAGATATTTCTTCGTTTTTGTCTTGACTAAGATCCACTGTTTAGGTGCTCGGCGGTGGGGGGTTTGCTTATTAGACCTTGAACTGTAGGTTTGGGCATTAATTTTGGTGCGAAATGAAGGGGGTTTGACTCAGTGAAAGCTATTGATTTCTTGGAATGCGTTTGTTGTGGAATGGGTAGAGAGGTCTAGTTGGCTTGGAAGTATATATGGCCATTAATGTGGGACTCTGATTCATGTTATTTCGACTGGTTTGTTGAATGCATGAGTGCACAATGCAGTTCCTCTGAAGGGGCTCGGCTGCATCAGGTGCATCCCTAGTTCAACTGGAGATTAAGATTTTCCGGTGCCAAACCTTACTAACTGTCCATGTTGCGCTGGACATCTTGCTTATAGAGTTGTGAAAGTACTTTGGAATGTGTCTTGCAAGAGAATTTTGAAACCATCTAGGATTGGTGCTACCGGGGATGTCTTTAAGGGGACAATTTTGGGCATGATATTCGGGTTTTAGCTGGAGCATAACTTGAATTATTAACAGTTTCTCATTTCCTGTATAGAAAAGACCAACACAGGTCCAGTTCTTTTCATATCTTTGTGCTATCTTCCGTATGGTAATTGTCACGGAGAGAAAGAAAAGGCGTCATCACCAAAAATTCTTACATAGCACAGCAAACTAACATATGGAAAGTCTTAAGTTGCCACTATGTTTCACTTCAATTACAACATTTGCTCTCCCTGAAAAATGATTTTGCATGTTCAAATCTTAGTTATTCAGAATATCTACTCTTCTTGAACATTACAATTATGGAGGTTACTTTTGCAGCCAGAAGCCTCTCCTACCTCAATTTGAGTCAGCTGAAATGCGTAACTTAGCAGAGACATTGTTGCGGTAAGGAGTAATCTAAGCTTCACATAGAATTAGGGATGACATTGTCTAGCTATCGACTTATTCTCCTCCTTTCAGGGATATTATCCGTGGGAGCCCTGATGTGCAATGGGAAAGCATCAAGGGACTAGAGACTGCAAAACGTCTCCTAAAAGAAGCAGTCGTCATGCCCATAAAGTACCCAAAGTAAGATTGGTACTTTATGATTCATAAGGTTAAAGTTAATCTTTGGACATTACCTCATAGTGTGTTCAACTGTACCATCATTGTGCCCTTCCCTAGTGGTATTTCAGATTCTCAGCTTCTTTGTGTGATGGTTTTCTCTTTTATAAATAAGTAAGAAATTCAGAGAAGGAAGGCAGTGAAGGTCTTTTTGTAGCAGAAAAAATTGATGCCTAATATCATATAAATTTTTATATTCTTGTTCACCTTTCTTTTGATTCTCTAGCTTATAGGGAGCAGAGCAACCAACCGCAATGAATTATCCTATGTATTTAAATGAATTAATGAAGAATGGCAAAATAACGGCTTTGCTAAGCACACTTGAGAAGAGCATATTATAGTTGAACTCTTAATGTATTTTAGAAAAAATAAATTACTTCTATCAAATTGTACCCATCACTTTTGTCTAACACATAATTGGAACAGATTGGAAAATGGTAGTCGTATTAGTTTACTCATTTTATGCAAAATAGTCACTGATCTTTTTTCGGAATGGTCTGGGGGCTCTGAGGTGTGGGTTTGGAAGTTTTCGGAATGGTCCCGCTCCAGTTGTCTACCTCGATACTAAACCTTTTAAAGGCGTACTGCATATGATTGATCTGTCAATTATTCCTAATCGTATTTTTTACAATATTCAGATACTTCACTGGTCTACTATCACCGTGGAAAGGCATCTTACTTTTTGGTCCTCCTGGAACAGGGAAGGTTGTAAACTTGTTCCAGATGTTACGTCTACATCTTAGTGCACTTATTACACAAAAAATATATGTCCATATTTTCCTTTACATACCTTTTATTTCCCACGTATTCTTATGTCTACACCCTGGGACTTTATAAATCACTACTTCACTGTATTTTGTAGCAAGAGATATGATAGTAGAGATAACATTCTGATCATAGTTCATTCTAAGTTTAGCAATAGTCATGTGTACAAAAATTAATATGTAAGGGATACTTGTAGGTTTACTGCACCCAAGCTCACATGGTCACTTAATTTATTTTTCAGAGGATCAGTTTAGAAAATCCAAAAAAAAATCTGAGATGGAATCATGTAACGTCAAGTATTTTGTATTTTTTTTGTTGATTTGTAGTCTGCATAAAAAAAAGGGCTAAAAACATTTTTAGGTTGTGAATTTTTTGGGGTTTGTTTATTTTCCAGTTCACAATAATAATATCATGATTTTCACGAAACTTGATATCTGAACATAATCAAGAAGCATCTACATGTGAGAATATTGGAAGAATGATTTTTTATAAAAGGCAGCAAGTGCTTCCGAGTGCCTAGCTCAACTTGTTGGGGGAGTGGATGTACAAACCCAACACCTGGGTTCAAATCCTCGCGAAGGCGAATTTAGGTTCCTTTTATTCTTGATGACCAGGCTTTCCTGGTACTCACGCATTTATCATTGAGGACTAGGCTTGGTGCATAATCAAGATTAAAAATCCTGGTACTCATGCTTAAAAGGTTGTGTGCATCCCTAGTTGGTGCAGAGGCCAGGAAGTGAAATTCTCCTCCCAATTTTAGAGCTTGCACGTACGGGCCGAAAAAAGTGGATCGGCCCCTGCTCGACCACCGCGCGGGCGACATGGGTGGCTCCGCCGCCGCCCCACTCTTGCCCCCCCCCCTCCGACCCTTCTCTTCCCATCGCCGGCCGGAACGCATGGGCAAAGCCCTCACGGTGGTCGGTGGCGTCGGGCCCTCGCATGGTCGGGTCGGCTCCGGCGACGCTCTTCGGCAAGTTGGCGCTGCACCGGCGGCGTGGAACATGGAGGCGGATCAGCGCGGCTCAGGTAACGCGGATCGGCACCAGGCTGATCGGCGCGGATCGGTGCAAGGCAGATCAGCGCCTCCTACGGCGTGGGTCAGTCTTCAAGCGCGGTGCGGTCGTGGGGATCTTTGCGCTCCTGCTAGGCCTCTTCAGACGGTGATTCATCCCCCCATGGTGCTCGTTTTGGTGGTGCCGACCGCCGCGGGCACCATGGCCGCAAACTCCGTTGATTCGGTTCGGGTCAGCGTGTGTCTAATGGTGGCCGTAGTCGAGATCTCTGAAGGTGGCGATCCGGTGCACACGATGGTGGATGGAGGTTCGTCGAGCAAATCCGGGTGAAAACCCTGCTCTTGGCTAGTTGCCAAGGCCAGCAATGGCGGCGTCCTTCTTCATCGCCCTCTTCTTGAAGGCATCGCCGTGAAGAAGCTCCAGACCTCTAGCAGCTACCTCCAGGGGAAACCCTAGACTAGTAGATCGGATGACGGTGGAGCTCTTGTGTCGCTCACCCCTTGGGGGCGTCATTCTTGGAGGTGTGCATTGGCTCGAGGGACCCGTGGACGGTTTCGACGATGTGGAGTCTCGACGGCATGTCGCAGCAGGGTCTCGGCGACGGATGTGTGATGATGGACGCACGTACGGAGGTGGCGTTGTCTAGCGCTGTGGTGGCGTCGACGGCATGGCTGGCAAGGTCGATGTGTCAGTACCTGCTCTGAAGATGGATCGGTGGAAGACGGTTGCGGTGGCCTCTGCAACGTGCGCATTCAGTGACCACCGAGAGTGCGCCTGACCGGTGTGTGCCCCAAACTCGCAATGCAGCTTGGTTGGGGCCTCCGGCTTTAGATGTTGGGCTTTGGTGTGATGTCTGGGTATGCGGCTCAGACAATCTGCACCCCTTCATCAAGTTGATAGGAGTAGCGACAGATGTTGCTGAGATGGTGGCTTCAGACTTATTGATGTATTACTTTGTAAGGTCTTGGTGAATAATTAATAAAATAGCTTCATGCATCGTCCTGAGGCCGGGGGTCATCCTCCTTTTCGAAAAAAAGTGATTCCGAGTGCCATTTCGCATTATAGATACGTGTGGGTTTTTTTTTCTTTGGGGGAGGGGTCTTTTGTATACATTTTAGAGTTATATAGTTTTCCCTTTTCTTTTCAACCATTTTTTGGCTATTAAGAATTCCCTTGTGTTGCCTATTTAAGTATTTAAGCAGTAGCTCTTTTCTATTTTCAGACAATGCTGGCAAAAGCAGTTGCTACTGAGTGCAATACTACATTCTTCAACATTTCGGCTTCATCAATTGTCAGCAAATGGCGTGGTGTGTGTTGTTAACTTCTCTCTGTCCTGCATACAGTTATTTGATTAAATTACTTTAATCGCATAACAACTGGTAATTTAGGCATGCTTTGCACAATTAGGTAATTTGTTCAGGTGGTCATTTATCATATCATATTTATATTGTTATGTGCAACATAGTTAAGGTTTGTTTGATGAAAGAATAACTAATGGAATGTTCTTTTGTACAAGTGCAGGAGATTCTGAGAAGCTAGTCAAAGTTCTTTTTGAGCTTGCAAGACATCATGCACCATCAACAATATTTCTTGATGAGATTGATGCTATTATTAGTCAGCGTGGTGAAGCTCGTAGTGAGCATGAAGCTAGTCGACGCTTGAAGACTGAGCTACTTATTCAGGTGTCTACTTGTTCACAAATATAAAGCTAGTATTCTAATGCATGGTTTCCTACTACATGATCTCCTAAGCCTAGCTTGAAGCGTGCTAAGCTTCTGATTTCAGTTTAGTCATATATACACCAATTTTTACTGCAGATGGATGGCTTAACAAAGACGAACGACTTAGTATTTGTGCTTGCAGCAACAAATCTACCCTGGGAATTAGATGCAGCTATGCTCCGTCGGCTTGAGAAGCGGGTATGGCTACTACTGTGTTTTTATTCCAAATTGTTTTTCCAAACAGCTACCCTTTCATTTCAGTCATGCCTTGGTTGAATATTCTTTTGTGGGGCTTATATGTCAGACCTGAAGAAGCTTTTATTTGAATTCCAATCAGTCTCAAGAAGAGCATATCTTACTGTTATGAAAATGGATGCTTGAGATGTATCCAGAGTATTCGATTAGTAGTAAATATTAGAAGAGGGCATGCTAACATATAATATTGTTTCTTTACTGGGCGGTAAGACTAAAATCAACATTTTTCTTATTTATAGTTTATCTATACCCAAACCCATTACAACAGAACATTGATTTGCAACTGCATATCATGGACAGATCAAAGTAGGAAGACATGCTTGTGTGGGTGAGGCCTTTATTGTAAAAAGAAAGAAGGTGTGATACGTAGGAAACAATCCATGCCATATATTTGATAAATTAACTGCACAATTTTTTTTGGCATCGTTCATCAGATTCTTGTACCACTTCCTGAAGCTGAAGCAAGGCAAGCCATGTTTAAGGAACTTTTGCCAGCAATGACCTCAAATCTAGAGGTCCCATATGATATCCTGGTCGAAAAGACTGAAGGGTACTCAGGTTCAGACATCCGTCTCGTGTGCAAAGAAGCTGCCATGCAACCACTGAGACGTCTCATGTCAGTTCTTGAGGCCAGTGATGAGCTGGTGCCAGAGGAAGGTTAGTTTTGATTTCTTGATTTCCTAAAACTCTTTGTACTTTCCTGTAAAATACAATAGTGCCTAAGTTTTTAGACTTGTTCTTGCCGATCTGATCAAACATATTATTACCCTTCGTGGTGTAGAGCTGCCTGAGGTTGGCCCTCTCAAACCTGAAGACGTCGAACTTGCTTTGAGCAACACAAGGCCGTCAGCCCATCTCCAAGCACATCGTTATGAAAAATTTAACCAGGACTATGGGAGCCATATTCTTTCTTAAGAGCAAACCACAATCAGCTTCTCAGGTCAGTTGTGCGCGAGAATATGCCTCGCCAAGCATGTACTAGTCAATTAAAAAGAAACTAAAATTTCCCTCCTTGAAGAATGTAGAATATTTAGCTTTGTTGTGGTCTGCAGGTTTGCCAAGTGATGCACGGTGGTGGTTAATTTGAACGTGTACTGGTACAAAGCTATCTTGCCCTACAAGGCCACACCAATCAAAATGGCCTTGTCGCACATTATATTTATCACTTGACAGTCGTCAAGCAGGATGCAAAAATTGTTGCTAAATACATTAGACAGATTTAAGTTGCGATGCAATCATTGGGCATCTGATTTTTCTGCGTCAGCTCTGCTTGACTAGACTGGAATATTACCCTGTAATGATCATACTCCAAAATAATTAACAAATAATTCATTGAGTAGGATTTATGATGAAATAAATAAATGTTAGTCATGTTGAATGGAACATTACAGTCCAGTTCTTTGCGCTTCACACATATTAGGGTTTCTTCGCTTCAAAGGGTTCTCATGGAAATTTTGGAGGATACTATCTCTTAAGAATGTTTTCTGTAAGTCTTGTCTAATTTGTAGGATTAAATACTTGAGTAAAATCGATAAATCTACACACTGCTTCTGCATGCAATTTACAAGGAGAATAATGTTCACTTAGACCATTTAATGATATTTTTTTTTGCTTTGTTTCTGTTATAGTGATTGAACCATTTAATTTTTCACAGAGATTCCTGACTTGTCTACCTATACCACTATGTAGTACCACAACAACTTTGATATGCTCCATCCAGTGGTTGAGAGATGATCCGTTAGAGAGTTTTCATCTCATTAGACTTCGCCACATGAACCACCACTCTATTGTCTCATAGTGTTCTAGAAGCATTTTATTTCCGTACAAAGAATCTGATTCTCCAATAAAAAAAAGAGATAAGATAGTCCATGTCCTAGAGAGTTGGGCCTTGTCAAATATAATTAACATGGAAGGAAAGAAAATGTCGAGAATGATTTTTTATATATATTTCATGATGTTTTCCTAATGCAAAAAAATAGGCAATCTAGAAACATGCAACTTACTAGTTCATGTAGTGTAAACAAACAAGAGAGCGTAAATTGGAGTCTTTTTTAATGTTAAAAAATAGATTTGAAATTTCAAAGAAAAATCCAATTTCCCCATGGGCATATACATAGATGTGTTTTATATACATTAGGCTACACAAGAAGTAACTATTTTAATCCACGTGTCTTTTTTTTGTGTACACCTCAACTGAAAAGATGTATTTAGGGAAAATGTATATACATACTACACATCGATATGTACATGCATATATTTTTCAGAACCTTTTGAGGTTTCAAAATACTGTTTTTTCTTCTTCTTTTCTGAAAGGACGTCGATAACTGACATACGAGTGGTATATTTGACATGTATCCACACACCGTGTGTGGTATGAGCAGGAGGCAGCCCACACAGGCTGTGTGTGGGCGGATATTAGAATTGTTCACACGTGTGGGCGCGGCTGCTTCGTGTCACACGCCAACAAGTACTACTCATCTCCATTCCGCGCGTGTGGCACGAAGCAAAAATGCCCACACGTCCTGACGCAACTACGTTAGATACATCGTGTAGTTGCCATCCTGGTTGGCGGATGTAGTTATCCGGGATGGCAAGTGTAGTTGTAAAAGCATGACAACTCTATCTGTTTTGGTTAACTATAGTTACCATGTCTAATTTATGGTAGTTGCCGCGTGTAATCAAACCGTAGTTGCCGTGTGTGATTAACTACTTGTCACGTATGGTCAAACAGTAGTTGCCATGTGTGTTTACCTAGTTGCCATGTATGGTCCAACCATAGTTGCCATGTGTGTTTATCTGGTTGCCACGTACGCGCAACTGCAGTTGTCGTCTAGCAAAAAATCATAGTTGTCATGTGTATTTACCTAGTTGCCACGTTCGTCTAACTGCAGTTGCCATCCACAACGTAGGAGTGTTGTGTGGGCGAAAAGTAGTTCACCCACACGCGCTAAAACTAGGTGGCTGGTTGTGTGGGCAGAAACTAGTTCGCCCATGCAGCACGGCAACTGCAGTTGCCGTCTAGCAAAAAAGCACAGTTGTCATGTGTGTTTACCTAGTTGTCACGTTCGTCTAACTGCAGTTGCCATCCACAACGTAGGAGTGTTGTGTGGGCGAAAAGTAGTTCACCGACACGCGCTAAAACTAGGTGGCTGGTCGTGTGGGCAAAAACTAGTTCACCCATACAGCGCAGCTGGCAAACAGCATGGTGCTAGCGTGTGGGCAAACTCTCCAACGCCCTACGTGGCACACAAGATCAACCTTTTCGTGCCAAGATTCGTGTAAAAGGCGCTGGACGACGATCGAGGCGTGTGGGCGAGTTGGGCAACGCCCATACATGTGGGCGTTAGTGTTTCCGTTCTGAAAAAGAAGGGCAATCTAATCATGGCTCTTACAAAGCTTTGTATTTTTTTAGCGGGACTATACCGCTTTTTGGAGATCCTATGAACCGAAGTGGTCTTAGGAATAATTTCTTGCTTGATGTACCAGAATGGATGGATGATAATCGACAGGGCCTCTACGAATGCATCAAGCCACAAATATAATCTTTAGCCAACAGAAGTTCTGCCACAAACGACAGAGTACAACAAAGAACGAGTGAATCGCACAAATAGTGTTCTCTTCTCATCGCATAAGCATATGCTTTCATCTTTTTCAGTTCAAATGCGAAAATGTGCAAATTTGGTCAATCAAACACCCGAGGAAACGAGCATTCCCATCATCATCAGACAGGTATCGATTTCACACATGCGATGCGGATTACTCATGACACTACTCTAGTAAACCACACTGAATGTACGGACTAGCTCAGCACATATAGCAGCTCTCCGGAACCAAAACTACAACCAGCTCAAGGCAGTCCCCTCATTGGATCAGCCGTCTTCCCAGATCTGGCGTCAGACCACGCCTTGGCTATTGTGCGCTTCATATCTTCATCACCTTCCTCATACATGCCCTGCACGTCAAAAAAAGAAATAGCTCATGTAAGCCAGATCGCGAATGCCAGCACAAATCGCTCGAGTCATGAGGCAGAACCGAGTGTTTACCTTCATTAAATCCATGATTCCTGACATTGGATCCTTCTCTTTGTCCATGCTTGGCTTAAACTGTCACCAAATAAAATTAGTTAGTCTATCTATGAGCAGTAGCAGTAACATCAAAAGCATGTTTTACGATTTTCACTGAGATGAGCAAATCCCGCTTTCACAACTCTTTGAGTAATTTTACTTACACTGGCTAGCAAAGTTGCCAAACAGACATATGGAACACTTCAATTCTATAACTTCCCCAGCAGCACTTTTTCCCGGTTTCCAGATCAGCTTGCTTCTTATTTGCTGGGCCTATTTCCCCAAACTATTTGCTTTAACTAATTTAGGGGCAACAACTGTTTCCTTTTCCGGACAGTTTTATTAAATCAGGAAAGCAGGCCTGTGACTTGCCTTACTTCCGACTCGAAAGCCTTCTAAACGGATTCCTTTCTGCACCCAGATGTTGGCAGTTATGCCACTGTGATAGATGCATGTAGCAGGATTGGAAAGCTATACGGTGCCTTTTATTCAATTATCACAGCTGAGAGGAAACGGGGAATGGTATGCACAGGAACAGCATGAAACAAACAATGGTATTCAATCCATATCAAAATATAAGACATTTTTTGACACTATGATGTGCCAAAAAATGTCTTATATTTTGGAACCGAGGGAGTACTTCATAACCTGGAAGGCCAGGGATTAGTAGTGGCATAGTGAAACACAATAGCTGTATTTTGAATCAAATAACCATATCATTGCTCTCCTGGCAGCAAAAGCATGCCAGCAGATTGGTGCTTCTGATGAATCAGTAGAGCACAGTGATGGCCAAAGGTCTGGCCATGTAATCTTTTGATCAAGCAATGTATGCTGAACTCTCTGGAATCCTGCTACACTAGATATATTTCTCTCCCAGTTTTGCTTTGGCGACGAGGAGGCCCACCTGTATGCTGAACTGTTTGGATGCGGGTTGGGCCAGTTTCCGATCACATATTTGGGGATACCGATACATTATCGGAGACTCACAAATGCTGAATGGAAACACGTCGAGGAGAGAATGCAAAAAAAGACTTAGCAGTTGGAAAGGAAAACTGCTATCTCTGGGTGGAAGATTGGTTCTCATAAATTCAGTACTAAGTAATATGGTACTATATATGATTTCCTTCTTCCAGTTGCCGAAAGGAGTTTTAATAGATTGGATTATTTTCGATCAAGATTCTTTTGGCAAGGAGATAGCAAGAGAAAGAAATATCGACTGGCTAAATGGAGTGTGGTTTGCCGTCCCAAAGACCAAGGAGGGTTGGGCATTCATGACCTTGAGGTTAAGAATAGGGCCCTCCTCGGCAAATGGTTGTTCAAATTACTAACGGAAGATGGTGTATGGCAAACCCTCCTGAGGAGGAAATATGTGGGTTTGAAGGCGGTATCCCAAGTATACTGGAAGCCTAGGGATTCCCACTTTTGGACGGGTCTAATGGCTACGAAGAAGTATTTCTTCTGCTATGGATCCTTCTCGATTAAGGACGGCTTGGAAATTAGATTCTGGGAGGACAAGTGGCTAGGAAATGCCACACTCCGGGAACAATATCCGGCTCTATACAATATTGTGCGCCACAAGGGTGATACTATCGCCACGGTATTGGAATCATTTCCGCCAAATGTGACGTACAGAAGAGATTTAATTGGACCCAGACTCCAATCATGGAACATCCTGCTCCAGCGGTTGTCTACGGTGCATTTGTCACATGGGTCTGGTGTATTCCGATGGAATCTCCATGGGAATGGAAAATTCTCAGTGGAGTCCATGTATAGAGCGTTAATCTAGTCTGATGTGCCAGTTGATAATAACAAAAAGATCTGGAAGATGAAGATACCTCTTAAGAATAAAAT